ATCAAGAAGGCAAAATAGCATTTATAGTGTATAAGAGATAACCAAAATCAAAGATTCCAAATCATAAGAACTTTGCAGGCTAGCTCGCATAAGATGATTTAAAGACTGAGATTTTTCTCGCAAAAATGAGTTTATATAACGTTACTGAGGGTTGTCTCCATGACGAAATCACTAAGATCTCTTTATCATGCGAACGGGGGCGGCAAATGATTCGTTACTATCGCAGCCATACGACACGACTAATGCACAGCCAAGAATGCTATTATAAGAAGGTTTTTATAGTTTGAGACTGGATGACTGTAAAAGTTCCAGTATCAGTCTTTAAGTTGGCTAAGCTCTTACTTGAGGATTATGCATAGTATTGAAATATACTAAGAACGAAAATAAGTAACAGCGGGAGGTATAGTGGTTAATGATAGCAGATGGAGTTTCAGAAAGGACACGATATTAAACAAAGCTCCAATATTTTTGGTGAAACTGACCCACATCACTAACTAAATAGTCTTCCTACACAAAAATATAGTAGAATTTCATTAATTTTTTTACTAACTTAAGAATGTAAAATTTTTAAAGTGATATAAAGGATGCCATGATTAGTTAAAAATAAATAGAATGAAGTTCAGCTTATGAGAATAGATCGAAACGATTATAAAGGAAATATTCTACCCAAAAGCTGCATGAGATATTGTTTTAAAGAAAACTCGACAATTCCAACTTAAAAAACTTTAAATATGCTGCAGCAGATGAATTACCTTTAACCCACTAAAATGACTGATTAAGAGACTACACTTTAAAAATGAGTCTAAAGGCAATTCTATTTTCAAAATTGATCCAATCTCCCATCAAACATGCTGATTATTATTGAAACGGCTATAAATAAAGTGTGAAAGCTATTGGTTTATGCCATTAATGTTGATTGTTTTAAATAATATTAAAATAAAAGATTAGATAAAACTCTATCTGGCCTTCAAAGACAAACAGATGCAAAATGCTGATGGTGTAAATTGATATTAATATGGATCTTATGTTCATATTATATCTGTATTTCATTTAGTTAATTCCAAGTGAACTTGAGGAAGCATGTGAACCTGAAGAAAGGTTTCAAGAAGTCGTCAGGTTAATTGGAACCCACACACTCGAAAAATTTGCGGTAAGCAATACGTGCTTTGCTGAACTTTTATATGCATGAATTCCAACAATGTTTTCTGATTTAACAGCAGTTCACAAAAATATAGAAAAATACTAAAACAAACGCCTCAGTATAATAAGAAAAGGATGCCTATTTACTTAGTTGTTCTTTAAAGCAAACTATATGTAAGCTGCAAAAGATTTGGCCTTATTTGGAGCCTCAGAAGAGAGTTTAGCATAAAAATGTTAAAGTATATGGCAATGCTCATTACTAATATATAGAAGGCCTAGCATCAAGTGTAATGTGAAGCACTTATGGACCATTTAATGATCTCATAATTTCAAAATAAAATAAACTGACAATAATAAAATTTATAGATAGATGAAATTTAGATATAAATTTTTTTTTAAATGATGTCAAAAATCACGTTCACATACATGAGGCAATTTTAATAGGAAAAGTAGAACTCCTTAGGGAAGTGAATGACCAGACATCTTTAGTCAAGTTGGGTGAGACGCGAAAGTATAGACAATGACATATGTGCATTTTAACGTAATTGCTATCGATAGGAAAAATACTAGCTAATAAAAGATAAGGTATATGAATTCTGGTGCGTAATCCTAAGTAAATTAATCAACTACTAAGTCTATATAATAGAAATGCTGAGGGAAGTTCCGTATGAAAAGTTTTATTAGGCAATTTAAGAATTATCATTTTAAATTTAAAAATTAAACTAGCAAGCATAAAAGCGACACACACTGGATTATGCTACTAAGTAAAAGTATTGAAGGATCAGAGCATGATCAAATCCTCAGAACGACAATCCTAATGCGTGAAAATGAAAGAAAAATGATACCACCCACAAAAGTGATATAGAGTTATTGTCAGCCTAGAAAAAGTATATTTGTAAGGCATCTTTAAGAATAGTGATAATGAGAAAGTATTTTGCAGAAAAAATATGAA